GTTCACCGAGACTGGAGACATGACCTGACCTGACCTCACTAGTGACCAGTGACCGTTTCGATGCCAAGTGTTGTTTTTAGGTACTTACCAGCACCTAAACAACCTACCACCAACCACCCAGTAATTCATCTTACCCGTAAGCACATAGCTACATGTTTGTTTTATAAGTAGAACAGAACAATCCTTAAAAGCATGTTTGGAAAGGTCACGCAAATAGTTCTTCCAGAATCTAGCAGGTTAAGCATAGCATGATGCAGCTTTTACACTCATCTCACGAATTCGAGATAATTTATGTAAATTTGTACGCGCCAAATAAAAGAGCGTTCTATGCATGCTTATAAACATTGTTTAAAGAACAATGCATTTAAGCACCAGCTTAGAAGATCACGCAAATGAATGATGTGAAAATATGAGTCAAAAGGAATGTGTATTCGAATTGGGGAATAGAAAGGAAGATGCTACGAAAGAAAACAGCTACGTACGCGTAGGCCATAATCGTAGTTTTCATCCCTTGCATTTCAGTTACAAGTACCTGGCAGTCTAAAAGACGATAGTGATTAACATGGATTTGCTGCTGGGGATTGAGAAATAATTAATATGCACCTCCTTCCTTTGAATCATGTGATGGGAGCGAGATGACGAACAACACCACCGCGCCGGTGGCACGGGGACAAACCAGTTGTGATTATCCCGACCCAATTCAGAGCTGCTCCGGCTCATTGGCTATACACTCATTTCCATCCGAATCTCACCGCACACCAGTGTCCCTGGTGCCCCGTGACTCAGATGGTAGGGGAGGCGGACACTGAAATACCGAGCGCCCCGGTAGCGCCGGAACCTGGCCGTCTCATCACCTCACCAACAAATCAAACCAGGCTATCGCCACCAACGCCGGTGTACCGTTTTGCAAATGAATCGGTTCGCCCAGCGGGGGGTGGGTGTGGGGAGCAGCGGCGGGCGGACCGGGAGCGCCCTCCCTTGGGGACGGTGGGGTGGAGGGAGAGGTGGCACATACGGTACCGTCCGGAAGGGACGCCGTTCCGTCGCCACAGGGGATGATAATGCGTTCTGATTAGTGGCGGGGTGTGCCGCACCGCTCACTGTGATAGCTGGGGGTGAAAAAGTCAAGGTCTGGCGTCTAAAACCCATGAAAGAATGGCCATAGGTATTCGAAATGATGCGACTGATTAGTGGAGATGGTAATGGACCCCACCCGACAAAGGAGCGTATCCGAAGGAGGGTCTAAAAATGCGCCCTATCGTGATAATTCAGCGTAACAGCGTGCATTATCTGGCCAGGAGATATTTGAATTCTTCCCGTGGCCCTCCCGTGGATCCGACTGCTTCTCAAAGAATGAGCGTGATTTTGTGAAATTTTATGTCCACCGAGAAGCTCGTATTTAATTCAAACTTCCGATGCCGTCGGATGTGATATAGTTCATTTGCATTTTACTCGTGTAGGTACTTAGTTTCATTTATTTTGCGTTCATGTAGGTATAAATGCGACGACGGATATCGCACACGACAGAAATATGTCACATGTTTTATCGCCATGCCCTGGCTGTTATGTGTTGTCGCTGAACTCATTTGATTCAGTTGCGTTCACAATGTTCAGAGTCAGTGGCGCAGCCAGCATTTCATTTCGGGGGGGTCATCGTGTAACGTTTCTTCTGTATTTTCACTTTCACACAAAACTATGTACACATACGTCAGCACCCCCGCGTCCCCGTCCTTCCGGCTCGCGGTCCGCAAGCCGACTGCCGCCGCGCCGGCCGCGCCGGCGCGCATCGACAACTTCCGGGCCGTGCCGCTAGGTGGCAGCAGCTGCCGGCCGCTATAAACCCCTACACCCTTCCCCCCTTGACAAGGAAAGTACCTACATCTATGCGTAACGGTAACCCGGGTGACACCACTCAACCGTTCCCCGGCGGCACACTATCACATGAATGACGAACATATCTACGCCACGGTAAGCACTCGACAAACCAACCTCATACCATGCTCACCCGCCCCGGCCTCCGCCTCACGCGCAGACCTACAATCGCGCACACAGCTACAAATAAAACATAGCGAAAACGGCAGCACGGGTGCCCGGCGCCACGCCCGGCTGAGCGTCACGAAGTTACGCAAACAAAGTCCGCACTTCGGTGTCCCTCGGGTCAGCGGCGAGCAATCACGATGCACAATACGGTGCGTTCGTCGAACACAAATTCACACCGCGCCGGGGCGAATCTCCAGCGAATATATACAAAATACACCGCGGACATTTAGGCGATACTTCACACCCCTTAGAAAGCGGAACCCGCCTGATACCGCACGACAGGCCGCGACATACGGCCAGCCCGCGTGAAGCGCGGAGCGGGTGGGCCGTAGACAGCAGGCTCGTCCGCTCTCCCCTCCCCCACTCCCCCAGGCGCTCCTGCCGCCGGAGGACGACACTGGAAGAGCAGCAGATGCTGAGGAATTCCACTCCGCTCGTCGTCCGCGAACCGATCTCCGCCCTGCCCATCTGCTGGTCGGGGCGTAGGGGCGGCCTGGCGGACTCTTGTCGCCTCTCTGTCTTGCCCGGTTCTCTCGCCGTCGGTCCGCTGCCGTTTCTCTTTAAACGGCTTCAGGTGGTTGTGGTGAAGCACCCGGGTCTTCCCATCGCTCCCCACAACCCTGTAGACCACCCCGCTGTTCCGCTCGTCGATGTGACCAACAACCGTCCACGGTCCCTTGTAAGGCAGACCCAGCTTCGGCTTCCCGCCTGCTGAAGCTGTAAAGTCGCGCACCAGGACCTTGTCTCCCACCTGATAGGCATGTGCTCGCCCTTTCTGGTTGTACCTCTTGCAGGCTTCTTGTGACGCGCGTGCAGAGTTGCTCCGTACTCGCTCATACGCGGCGCGAATGACCCGCAGCCGATTTTCCAAGTAGCTCCGCACTGGCACCGCTTCAGGAGGTGGACCGTACGCTGCATCCAGGGGCATCCTGGGTTCAAACCCGTGCACTAGGAAGTACGGCGTGTAGCCCGTGGTGCTGTGCACCGAGGAGTTGTACGCCATCGCATACGCCTTTACTTCCTCGTCCCAGTGCAGCCCCTCTTTGTCGATGTACTTGCTGATCATGTCCTTGAGTGTGCGGTTGAACCTCTCAACCATGCCGTCACTCTCGGGGTGGTACGGGGTAGTGCGTGTCTTTTTGATGCCCAGTCTCTCGCACATCGCTTGGAAAAGTCGGGACTCGAATTGGCTGCCTTGGTCGGAGTGGAGCCTTTCCGGCACCCCGAAGTCGTGGACCCAGTCAAGGAGGCCCTCCAAGACGGTCTCTGTTTTCTGGTTGGCCATTGGGTAAATCCGAACGTACTTGGAAAAATAATCCATTATGACTAGGGCACACTTATTTCCTCTGAGTGACGTCGGCATCTCAGTGATATCCGCTGCGATTCTTTCGAATGGTTTGGAGGTCAACTCTGTCACCATCGGGGCCCGTTTGGCCGGGGCGGGCCGCTGCCTCCTCTGGCAGAGGATACAGCCCTCACAGAACGCACGGATCTCTCCGTACATGCCGGGCCAGATAAACCGGTGTCTGACACGGAACGAGGTGCGTTGACGCCCCAAGTGCCCGCTCGTGACGTGGTCGTGTGCCATTGCCATGACATCATGCCGCAGCTTCTTTGGCACAGCCGCCCGAAACGTGTCCCCGGACGTGATTCCGACCACCCCATCGACGACCTTTACTTCGGCCCATCGAGAGTTGAGCACCTGCTTCCACTCTCCCATCTCGGCCGGTTTTGGCTGCTCGCCGCGTCTCAACCAACCGCGTATCTTTTGCAGCACGCCGTCGTCTTCCTGTGCGCGACGAATGTCCTGTCCCGTGTCCATTCTGTCTCCGATGGGATCTGCTCCACCCTCGATCGTCTGCTCAACAGCATTGACCGCCCCTGTGTGTGACGCATCCCCGGTGCCACCGTTGGGACTGGGCGGCCCGCCCTCGACCCGACTGATGCCCGAGGAGCCGTCATCACGCGCGGTTCGCCGCATGACTGCTGCAGATCCGTCATCTTGTCTGTCCTCGGCCGGGGTGAGAGCGGCTTTCGCGATCACCATGGTGATGGCCATTACGAGGGCACAGAGCCACGACGCGACGGCCGTGTCAGTGGCTCGGGTGCTGTCCACGCCAGCATCTTCGCTTGAGACGAGGGCAGTTACCGCTGTTGCTGTGTCTGGAAGCGCCTCCTTGAGCCCCGTTGGGCGTCTCGACAGCGCGTCCGCGTTCCCGTGGTCGACTCCCGGTTTCAGGGCCACTTCGAAGTCGAATGTGCTCAATTCCACTGCCCATCTCCCCCGTCTGCCGGTCCCGTCCCTTTCCACTGCGATGGACTGTGGGATGTTTGCGAGGGGTTTGTGGTCTGTCACGATTAGGAATTTGGCACCCACCGTGTACTGTCGGAATCTCCGAATCGCGTGCACTATGGCCCACAGCTCCTTATCATAGGTCGGCCATTTCATTTGGGACTTCGTCAGCGCCTTGCTGTCGTACGCAACGACCCGTTCGGTCTCACCGACCCGCTCTGCCAGTACTGATCCCACAGAGCCATTGCAGGCATCGGTATACAGCACGAATGTCCCTTTGAACGACGGCAGCGACAATATCGGAGGTGACGCCAGCACACTTTTCAGTTGGTTGAAGGCGTGAGTCATCTCGGCTGTCCAGTCCAATCGCCCCGGAGATAGTGCAGCGCTCCTCAGTGGCCGGCTGACCTCGGCGTAGTTTTCTATAAATTTTGCGTAATAACCGCACAAGCCGAGGAAACTTTTCATTTCATCATCGGTTACTGGGGCCGGCCACGTGAGCACTTTCTCGACGTTCCTTAGGTCGGGACGGATGCCCTCCTCCGACACCTGATGGCCGAGGAATGTCACCTCCTTCTTGGCTAGGTGACACTTGTTTGGCTTCAGCTTGAGGCCTGCACGCCGGATCCGCCCGAAGACCTCCTCCAGTGTATCCAGGTGTTCGCTCTCAGTTCTGTTGAATAGAACGACATCATCCAGGTATACTAAACACGTTTTCGTATCCAGCCCTGCCAGCACCAGCTCCATTAGGCGCTGAAACGTCGCACTGGCGTTTTTTAGGCCGAACGGCATCACGCGGAACTGTTGCAGACCCCGTCCTGTCGTGAAGGCCGTCTTCTCTCTGTCTTCCGGGCTCATGCCAACCTGCCAATAACCAGCGGCCATATCCAGGGTGGTGAACCATTGCGCACCGGCCATTGAGTCCAACGCGTCATCAACTCTAGGGAGAGGGTATGCCACTCCTTTCGTGACTCCATTCACCGCCCTCATGTCTACACAGAAGCGAAAAGAGCCGTCCTTCTTTCGCACCAGGACGACGGGGGAACACCATGGACTGGTGCTCTCCTCTATCACCCCGTCCCTCAGCATCTGCTCCTTCTGCAGCTCCACTTGGTCTCGTATTGACGTCGGTATCCTGCGGGCCGGCTGCCGGATCGGGGTGGCATCGCCTGTGTCAATCCGATGCTGCACCAAGTGGGTGCGTCCAATGTCTCCTGAGTGCTGACTGAATATGTCCCGGTACTCCGACACCAGGCTTCTTAGCCGGGACTTGCCATCCTCAGACATGTCGGAGCCGTCCACGTCGACTGCTGTGACTGGTGCCGGAACATCATCATCATCGCCTTGGTCGCTGTCGCTGCCCCGCGGCGACCCGCCACCGGTGACAGCGCCGGCGTGAAGATCATCATCCTCGCTCAGATCGAATTCGTTGTCGCCACCCGGCAGAATCGTGTACAGCGTCCCGATATCGCTGCCCTTAAGAAATCTGGCCTCGTGGGAACCGACATTAGTCAGCTGTATCGGAACAGTGCCATTACCATCCACAGTCACCACCTCCCTCGGAATCAGGAGGTCCTCCCTCTGCGCCGTGTGGCTGGGCTCGATCACTCCCTGCAGCGCACACGGGTTACTCACCTTCCCGTTGACTGGTACCACGGAGGCTCTGACGACGATGACTGACCGCGCCGGCACCACCGTCGTGGCGGCCAACAGAACTCTGGCCCGACTGGGTCGAATGGCGCTGTACGGAGGCAGAGGAATTGACATCCCGGCCAGTCTGATCACTCCCGCCTCGTCATCGATAACAGTGCCATGACGGCAGCAAAAATCACGCCCCAGGACCAACTCGTACATCAGTCCCTTGACCACTGCCGCGCTGGGAGTAGCGAATGTCTTTCCCTGGATTTCGATTGTCAGGTCTTGAACAACCCCCGTGATGTGAAGCGGCTCACCGCCCGCCCCTCGCGCCGTCTGGGATGGCGTCGTTAGCCGACACCCCAGCTCCCGCTGGACATGCTCCTGCAGACCATCGCGAATCATCGTGAAGTCCGCCCCGGAATCCACCAGGGCCCAGACTCGCCGTGTTCCCAACTGCACCTCGACCACCGACGCCGTGATCTGGGACCCTAATGAACGCTGGGCCGATGCTTGTCCCTCAGCACCGGCCGCCATCAGTTTTCCTGACCGGTGTGCTGGGGCTGGTGACGGCTGCTTTGGACTGGTCCGGTATGCGACCGCTGGTCCATCGGGACTGGAAGCATGCGGCAGTCCGCCAGCCAATGCCCGTCCCTACCGCAGCCGAGACAGAACGGAAGTCTCTGTGGTGTAGCAGACTGTCGAGCCGAGCGCGGGCAGTTACGCACCATGTGCCCAGCCTCACCGCATCCAAAGCAACGGCCTCCGTTTTCGGTGGACTGGCGGCCTCTGCCTGCGGTTCCCTGCACCGTACACGCGCGCCGCGTGTGACCGATCTGGCCGCAGTTATAACAGCGCAGGTTGACCGGGGTCGCGGCTGTCGTTAGAGCCACCGCTGACTGATCATAGGCGAGCTGACCAGACTGTCTGCCCCCCAGCTGCCCGCCGTGGTGGTCAGACGTGTCGAGCTCGTGCAGCATTTGCTGCATTTCCATCATGCGGCGCTCCAGCGCCCGCACCCGATCCGTCTCCGTCTCATCGCCGCCTCGTCCCGCGGCAGGTAAGTCACCGGCGACTGATACCGCTTCCCGACCGCGCGGCAGCGCCGTCACGGGACCCGCGACTGCGCCCTCCTGTGAGTTAGCAGCAGGAGCCGCCACTGCAACGGCGCCAGCCGCCGCCGCAGCCGACTGCCGGACTGCCAGCATCGCATCGTGACGTGTCTGCAGCTCTCGGGCTGCAGAAATTGCAGCTGACAGCGTTTTCAGATTTTTGCTGCACAGCTGACTCTGAAGCTGCTCGTTACGCAGCCCGCACAGAAAACGGCTCGTCAAATGGAACTCGACCGGGGCGTCTCCCACGCCCTCGTCTGGATACGCGGCGCGTCCCAGATGACGGATACGATCGGCAAAATCGGCTACTGTCTCCCCAGGTGTCTGCATCGCGCGTGCCAGTTCCGCCTGTGCCTGCAGAGGACCAACCTCCGAGCCGTAACGCACACTCAGCGCCTCGACAACCTGCGCATAATCGGCCTGGGCAGCCGCCGACAACGACGCATATAGGTCCAGAGCCCCATCTTCCAGCAGGGCCGGCAAACACTGCAGACGTTCCGCGGCAGACCAGGTAACAGTTTGTGCCTCGAAGCGGGTCAGCCAGCGGCGCCATTCCTGCCCATTTGCACCGGTAAAGGGTTTAGCCTTTGACATAAAAATCAGCCTGGGATCCATTTCTCCCTCAAACTGATGATAACCGATCGTAATATTTACACTACACGATATCCTATTCCGCCGAAAACATCGATCAAAATGCCGGTCGCAGCTACCTTACCGTGATTCTGGCTCACCAGCTCCGGTTTTTCGGTCGTGGCGTCCTACCGACCGCGCCATTTTGTAACGTTTCTTCTGTATTTTCACTTTCACACAAAACTATGTACACATACGTCAGCACCCCCGCGTCCCCGTCCTTCCGGCTCGCGGTCCGCAAGCCGACTGCCGCCGCGCCGGCCGCGCCGGCGCGCATCGACAACTTCCGGGCCGTGCCGCTAGGTGGCAGCAGCTGCCGGCCGCTATAAACCCCTACAATCGCCTCCAAAGCGGGCCCCCTAGTGTGCGGGCCCCCCACCCATTTTTCAGAATCTCTCCATATTTCATACACATTCTGCTGAGCGGGCCCCCTTTACCTGCACGATAACCCTGAGCGAGTTTGAATCAGAACATTTGGATAGAACAATAGCTCGGTAATCACCCGGTGTTCAATTTTTGCGCAAATTGACCACGACAAAAATATGCTCTGTAAAAATTCGTATCTTTCGAGGCCGAAATGTGCCTCTTCCTCAATATGCATAGCATATATGCAATCGGAACTGTTGCCTGCTTCCGTCGGACAATATTTAACCCTATTCCTGGCGGGCTCCGCCGGGACAAGAAACTGGCGGGGGGCCGATTCGGCCCCCCTTCAGATCTCAAAAACTACACATCGCAGCGACAAACAGCGAACGGCGTTTGATAGGTCGTTTAAAGATCTACAACTTTTACATAAAACATTTTCAGGTCAGGTCAATATTGAGGTCACCAGAGGTCGGTCATCAACGATAAAATGTTTTGGAATTAGTTACCTATATAACTTTTAAACTAAGAAACATATAGACATAAAACCCATACATTTTTTGTTGCTCTCGCCGAGGCGATGCGAAATAAGTATGTGATGACCTTCACAGGTCAATTTGAAATTTGACCTGAGGTCAAGGTCAGGTCATTCATCAATGAGGTTGTGAGGTATGGTCATGCTGCATACCAAACGACGCGCATTGACCAGGCAAGCAGTTTGGTACCACTTACAAGTCTTTAGCACCATCATGTCGTGATTTATTTACAGAAAAACGATTTATGACGTCACATGACCTCAGATGACCTTTGCCGGTGCCCCTGTCAATTAGCGGCACCAGGATCATCACCGATGAGATAATCTTCCATAATACTGAAAGAATTGGATGGTTTTGACTCGTTTACACGAAGCAGGAGGCGTTTCAATATTTTCCCATAGGCTTGCAATGTAAAGGTCACGAGTCTGGCCTGACCTCAGGTCACAGATATGAAAATTCTGAGATATACAAATTGCACATACTGGTACCCTAACTAAAGCCTGAAGAGAAGAAATTGATCGGTCAAAAACTCTAGCTCTGGCGTGATTGCAAACTTTTCTGAGGTAGGGTCACCAAACCGCCTCTGGTGACCTGACCTGAGGTCAGATCAACTCAAAATTTTCAGAAATGTTGCGTAAAAGCCTTTTATTAAAAGTCAGAAAATTTGAGCTTCCTAGCTCAAAGCGTTTGGGAGAAATAACTAAAAAACCTCAGGGGGGCTCCTGAGGCCCCCCCGCCAGGAATAGGGTTAACTAGTCCCATGTGCCTGTTCTATGTCATCTATTGGCTGCTGTAGTAAATTGTGCCTTTACTCTTCTTCATTACGTGAATTTGCTCACAAGAATTTTTAACCCTCGCGGCACAGGGGGGAAGGGGCTGATGCCTGATGCAATCCCCCCTAAAGTTTTTTTTTTTCGCAAATAACTCGCGTAAAAAGCGGCTGATCGCGACGTCTTTCAGTACCCTCGCGATCAATTTTACACCTACCCTAGAAATTTCATGACCCTGGCCCAAATGACCTAAAGGTCAATTCAAGGTCAAATTCCGACCTAAAGGTCGGAAAGTAGGCCAAACCTGGCCGACTTTCCGAGACCATGTTTGGCCAGAATCGCGGTTCGGCGTATGCCGGCTCGCATTAGCGGCGCGTTTGCAGTTCTTTCGTGGTTTCAAGCGTTCAAACATGTGATTTGATGTTGCTCCCATGCATAAGGGTGAATGTCAATGTCACCTGAAGGTCAGGTCAAGAGAAACGTACCGCCTCTCATGGAAAAATTATGAAAAGCTTATTGATCAAAAACAAGGTGGAACAAATCGCTGAAGAAAATGGCATTTGTTCATGACTTATCTACTTAGTTATACGGGTTTTGCTGCATAAACTGGTACGTTTGACAATTGAAAATGGCATAGTTGAAAAGAGCATTCAATTTTGTCCAAGATCCATTCATCGCTTTTGCATGAAGAGCAACAATATTCTTAAAAATATAAACCTTTTAAACCTCTACATAGCAATTCATCGATGGCCTCCATTTTTCAATAGGTAGCCTACGTCAACCTATGCGGGCCCCATTCACCCGAGGGCCCGGGCCCTATCCACACGGGGGCCCGAGCCCTATCCACACGGGGGCCCGAGCCACGTCCACCTGGGCTCCGGGCCCCATCCACCCGGGGCTCCGGGGCCCGTCCACCAGGGGTGCCGAGCCCCATCTACCCGGGGCCCGGGCCCCGTCCACCCAGGGGCCCGGACCCCATCCACCCAGGGGGCCAGGGCCCATTCTCCCAAGGGCCCGGGCCCCATCCACCCAGGGGGCCAGGGCCCGTTCTCCCAAAGGCCCGGGCCCCATCCACCCGGGGATCCGGGCCCCGTTCTCCTGGGGCCCCGGGCCCGTTCTCCCGGGGGCCCGGGCCCATCCACCGGGGATCCCGGGCCCCATCCACCAGGGGGCCCGGACCCGTTCTCCCGGGGCCCGGGCCCCCATCCACCCAGGGGGCCCGGGCCCGTTCTCCCGGGGGCCCGGGCCCATCCACCGGGGGCCCCGGGCCCCATCCACCCGGGGGCCCGGGCCCGTTCTCCCGGGGGTTCAGGCCCCGTCCACCCGGGGCTCGGGGCCCGTTCTCCCCGGGACCCGGACCCATCCACCGGGGGCCCCGGACCCATCCATCGGGGGCCCGGGCCCGTTCTCCCGGGGGCCCGGGCCCCATCCACCTGGAGCCCCGGGCCGACCCCTCACCCGTGGTGTCCCAGTAGGCATTTCTCGAAGCGGGCTCGTCCAATTAGATTACGACCTCTCTCCTCTCTCTTTCCCTCTCTCTCTCTCTCTCTCTCTCTCTCTCTCTCTCTCTCTCTCTCTCTCTCTCTCTCTCTCTCTCTCTCTTTTTCTCGAGCGGGCCCCCGACAAAAATTTCGGGGGGGTCAGCTGACCCTCTGACCCCCCCTGGCTGCGCCACTGTTCAGAGTTAAAGGCTAACTGTTCCATTTGATTTGATGGTCCTT